TAAAAACTCTAAAATGAGGATGGTAAATAAAGAGCAACACTAAAAAAAACTGGAATTCCAGACAGGAAACAATCAGGGACAGCTAACACCTCCCAACAAAGGATTCTTCCCAGGAAAGAAGCAGCTAGGTTTTGAAGCTGCAAGGCCATTTAATGCTAATCAAGGTGGCCAATTGCAACCTTCACACTTGCCTCAAGCAGACCAGAGTTCTTTCTCCCATCCTGGACATTCCACAGATATATAAATGTCACTTGCCTAGTTTCCAATGGACCTCACAACCTCTGAGGAAAGCTTGGGTAAGATAATGATGCTGGGGAAAATGGAAGGAAAAAGGAAGAGGGGCCAAACAAAGGCAAAATGGATGGAGTGATTGGCTTGACCTTGAAGGAGCTGGGGGTGGCCATGGCCCACAGGGAGCTCTGGTCTGGGCTTGTCCAGGAGGTCAACAAGAGGTGGAAACGACTGAACACATAAACAACAACAAGTACTTTACCCAAACTTTGATGCAAACCATAGCAAGAATATTTTAACATATCTGGTTGACTGGGAAGTTTCTGGCAATTGCAGTCCTCCCAAAAGGTAACTTGGCCAAGTTCAGATGCAAGCCGTGGTAAATATATTGTTCCATGCATACCATTTGTAAAATAAGATACAGTACTTCCCAATGTGTCCAGAGGAGGGCGGCAAAAATGATCACGGGTCTGGAGAACAAGCCCTATGAGGAGCGGCTTAAGGAGCTGGGCATGTTTAGCCTAAGAAGAGAAGGCTGAGAGGAGATATGATAGCCAATGTATAAATATGTGAGAGGAAGCCACAGGGAGGAGGGATCAAGCTTGTTTTCTGCTTCCCTGGAGACTAGGACGCAATGGAGTATGGCTTCAAACTACAAGAGAGGAGATTCCATCTGAACATGAGGAAGAACTTCCTGACTGTGAGAGCCGTTCAGCAGTGGAACTCTCTGCCCCGGAGTGTGGTGGAGGCTCATTCTATGGAGGTTTTTAAACAGAGGCTGGATGGCCATCTGTCAGGGGTGATTTGAATGCAATATTCCTGCTTCTTGGCAGAATGGGGTTGGACTGGATGGCCCATGAGGTCTCTTCCAACTCTTTGATTCTATGATTCTATATACATATCTCAATTTTACAATGGAAACTTCAGATCTCATTTCATGGGAAGTGAAAGGCGACAAAGAGAGGTTCCCTTGAAACTGATTGGGAATGATAAAATACTACACGAATCCCCTCTCTTCTTTTTCCAAGAGCCTGTATCCTCTCATTCTGATGTCACTTTAATAAAATCATTCCTGCGCCAAAGTCTTCATGTCTGGCATATAAATATATTATCGTTCTGCAAGATGCTTCATCAATGTTGAGCTCTTCCATCAACGCGGTAAATGTATTAGTAATATCTGCCATCTGCGTAGTTGCAAAAAGTCAGCATTATCATAATAGCAAAGTTCTCCATGTGAAGTTGTGGCTTGTGTTCCTATCCATTGTGGGAGTTGAAGTCCAAAACACCTGGCAGGCCCAAGTTTGCCCATGCCTGATGTCGGGGTTGGGGTTGACTTGACGCGCCTTCCTCTTGGTACATTTCTCTCTTTCTCTCTTTCGCCCTCCATTCATGCCTCTTCAAATTCTACAGCACTGCTGGTAACAGCTGACCTCCAGCTGGAGCGCTCAAGGACCAGGGCTTTCCAGTTCTCCTGTCTATGCCACAGTTTTAAGGGTTGGCTTTGAGCCCATCCTTGAATCTCTTTTCCTGCCCGCCAACATTCGTTTTCCGTTCTTGAGTTTGGAGTAGAGCAACTGCTTTGGGAGACGGTGTTCGGGCATCTGGACAACAAGACCAGTCCAGGGGAGTTGATGGCGGAGGACCAAGGACCAGGGCTTCCCGGATCTCAGTGTCTATGCCACAGTTTTTAAGGTTGGCTTTGAGCCCATCTTTAAATCTCTTTTCCTGCCCACCAACATTGCATTTTCTGTTCTTGAGTTCGGAGTAGAGCAACTGCTTTGGGAGACGATGGTCGGGCATACAATCATAGAATCACAGAATCAAAGAGTTGGAAGAGACCTTGGGGGCCATCTAGTCCAACCCCCTGCCAAGAAGCAGGATTATTGCATTCAAATCACCCCGACAGATAGAATCATAGAATCATAGAATCAGAGTTGGAAGAGACCTTGGGGGCCATCCAGTCCAACCCCCTGCCAAGAAGCAGGATTATTGCATTCCATCCAGCCTCTGTTTAAAACCTTCCAAAGAAGGAGCCTCCACAACACTCCGGGGCAGAGAGTTCCACTGCTGAACGGCTCTCACAGTCAGGAAGTCCTTCCTCATGTTCAGATGGAATCTCCTCTCTTGTAGTTTGAAGCCATTGTTTCGCGTCCTAGTCTCCAAGGAAGCAGAAAACAAGCTTGCTCCCTCCTCCTCCCTGTGGCTTCCTCTCACATATTTATACATGGCTATCATATCTCCTCTCAGCCTTCTCTTCTTCAGGCTAAACATGCCCAGCTCCTTAAGCCGCTCCTCATAGGGCTTGTTCTCCAGACCCTTGATCATTTGAGTCGCCCTCCTCTGGACACATTCCAGCTTGTCAATATCTCTCTTGAATTGTGGTGCATCCAGACAACGTGGCCAGTCCAGCGGAGTTGATGGCGGAGGAATGTTGCTTCAATGCTAGTGGTCTTTGCTTCTTCCAGCACACTGACATTTGTCCGTTTGTCTTCCCAAGAGATTTGCAGGATTTTCCGGAGGCAGCGCTGATGGAATCATTCTAGGAGTTACATATGACGTCTGTAGACAGTCCATGTTTCACAGGAGTAAAGCAGGGTTGGGAGGACCATAGCTTTATAAACAAGCCCCTTGGTCTCCCTACGGATGTCCCGGTCCTCAAACACTCTCTGCTTCATTCGGAAAAATGCTGCACTCGCAGAGCTCAGGCGGTGTTGTATTTCAGTGTCAATGTTGACTTTTGTGGAGAGGTGGCTGCCAAGAAAGTGGAAATGGTCAACATTTTCTAATATTAGACCATTAAGCTGTAAGCTGTAATTGAAGTGAGATGTTGACAAACTGGAATGTGTCCAGAGGAGGGCGACTCAAATGATCAAGGGTCTGGAGAACAAGACCCATGAGGACAGAGCAGCTGAAAGAGCTGGGCATGTTTTGCCAGCAGAAGAGAAGGCTGAGAGGAGGCATGATGAGGGATCAAGAGGTGAGGGGAAGTCATAGGGAGGAGGCAGCAAGCTTGTATTCTGCTGCTCTGGAGACTAGGATGAAGTAGAACAATAGCTTCAAACTACAGGAAAGGAGATTTTACCTGGACATTAGGACAAACTTCCTGACTGTGAGAGCTGCTCAGCAGTGGAACTCTCTGCCCCAGTATGTGGTGGAGGCTCTTTCTTTGGAGGCTTTTAAACAGAGGCTGGATGGCCATCTGTCAGGGGTGCTTTGAATGCGATTTTCCTGCTTTTTGGTAGGAGGTTGGACTGGTTGGCCCATGAGGTCTCTTCCAATTCCATGATTCTGTTGTTGTTCATTCATTCAATCGTTTCCGACTCTTCATGACTTCATGGACCAGTCCACGCCAGAGCTCCCTGTCAGTTGTCATCACCCCCAGCTCCTTCAAGGTCAATCCAGTCACTTCAAGGATACCATCGATCCATCTTACCCTTGGTCGGCCCCTCTTCCTCTTTCCTTCCATTTTCCCCAGCATCATTGTCTTCTCTAAGCTTTCCTTTCTTCTCATGATGTGGCCAAAGGACTTCACATTTGCCTCTACTATTCTTCCCTCCAGTGAGCAGTCAGGCTTTATTTCTTGAAGTATGGACTGGTTGGATCTTCTCGCTGTCCAAGGCACTCCATGATTCTATGACAGCTAAAAAACCCTGACGAAATATTGGAGGACATCAACAGAAGTAAAATGTCCAGGTGGAGGGAAGTCCTTGTCTCACTCCCTCCTGCTTTGATCAGACCTTCTCACCTGGAGTAATAACCCTTTGTCCAGTTCTGGACAAAGCAATGCAAGGAGAGAAAAGATGGAAGGTGTCCGGAGGAGGTAACCGGAATGGCCAAAGCTCTGGAAGGCAAGACCTATGGGAAGTAGCTTAGGAAACTGAGTATGTTTAGTCTGAAGGCTGAATCCTAGAATCCTAGAGTTGGAAGAGACCTCGTGGGCCATCATCCAGTCCAACCCCATTCTGCCAAGAAGCAGGAAAATCGCATTCAAAGCACCCCCAACAGATGGCCAACCAGCCTCTGTTTAAAAGCCTCCTTAGAAAGACCACACTTTGGGGCAGAGAGTTCCACTGCTGAACAGCTGCCTGTCACAGTCAGAAAGTTCTTCCTCATGTTCAGGTGGAATGATAGCCATGAGAGACACGATAGCCACCTTTGAATATTTGAAAGGATTGAGGAAGGGCAAGTTTGTGTTCTGCTGCTCTGGTGACTAGGATATGGGCCAATGGATTCAAAATATAGGAAAATAGATTCCTCTTACATTCAGACCACCAAAATATAATTGCTCTGGGTTCCCAAGGGAAGGAAAGAAGGGTTGCTCCACATATGAGAAGACCTTCCCTTCTTCAGCTTTCCATTGAGTCTGGTGGTCTGAATTTGGTGCCCCTTTCCCCATCCAACTCCATCCTCCATCTTGAGTCAAGGAGAAGGAGAAGAAGTCAAGGAGAAGAAGTCAAAACAGCATCCGTGTGGTGGACGTTCACATCCACAAACATGTTGGGATTACTGCTGTGTGCCTTCAAGTAATTTCCAACTTATTGCAACCTTATGATGGGATTTTCTGGAGCTGAGAGAGTGTGACTCATCCAAAGTCCCCAATGGGTTCCCATAACTGAACAGGGAATCGAACCCAGGACTCCAGAGTTGTGGTCCAGCGCTCAAACCATGATGCATCATTGATGTAAGGTGGGCAACCATCACAGGCAAGGTTGTCCCTAAATTACACAGAAAGCATCTATCTTCTATGACATTGCAAGCCCGTCCAAAATGATATGAACGAAATTGTGTCTGAATTCATTCTTTGGATTTACGCTTTAAGCCCACAGTCGTTTCCTACCTCCTCCTCCCCACCTTCCATATATACAGAAGAGAAGTCCAAGGGAGGTGAAGGGAGGAGGAGGAAGGAAGGAAGGAGGAGAGGGAGAGGGAGAGAGGAGGTGTTTCCATAGAGAGAATTAAAAAATAACCACCCCTTAGCAGCGCAGGCTCCTTTCACAACCATCAAAGGCAAAGGAGAGAGGAGTCCAGGTTGAAGCACCTGATGCCTTTCTTCTTATCTTGAAAGAGAGAGAAAGAGAGGGAAGCAGGCGCTGCCAAGAAGAAGCTCAGGGCGAAGGGTTTGCCCTCCTGGCTTCTCCCCAGAATCACAGGTAGGTGGGCTTCCTTACCTGGATATTATGAAAAGGCATGGGCTTTGGGAGGGAGAGAAGGAAGGAAGGAAGGAAGGAAGGAAGGAAGGAAGGAAGGAAGGAAGAAGGAAGGAAGGAAGGAGGGAAAGGAAGGAGGGAAGGAAGGAAATGAAGGGGAAGGAAATAAAGAAAAGGAAAGAGGGAGGAAAGGAAGGGAAGGAGGGAGGAAAAGAAGAGAAAGAAGAAAGAAGGAAGGAAGGAAGGAAGGGAAGGTGGAAGGAAGGAAGGAGAAAGAGGAAGGAAGGGAAGGAAGGAAGGAGAAAGGAAGCCAAGAGAGAAGGAAGGAAGGTTGAAAGGGTGGAAGGGAAGGAAGGAAGGAAGGAAGGAAGGAAGGAAGGAAGGAAGGAAGGAAGGAAGGAAGGAAGAGGGAAGATGAAAAAAAGGAAGGAGGAGAGGAAAATAAAGTGGAAGCGAATGGAGAATCATTGGGAGAAGGAGGAAGTCTGTTATTGTTGAAAGAAGGAAGGAAGGAAAGAGGGGAGGAAGGGAGGGAAGGAAGAAAAGAAAGAAAGAAAAGAAAGGAAGGAAGGAAGGAAGGAAGGAAGGAAGGAAGGAAGGAAGGAAGGAAGGGAGAGAGAGAGAGAGAGTTGGAAAGGGAAGGAAGGAGAGAAAGTTGGAAAGAAAAGGGGAGGGGGAAGAGAGAAAGTTAGAAACAAGGGCTGGGAAGGAAGAAGAGAAGGAAGGAATTTTGGGGGGAAAGGAGTGAAAGGAAGAAAGGGGAGAAAATAAAAAGGGTGGGGAAGGAGAGAAGGAAAGAAGGAAAGTTGCAAGGAGAGAAAGAAGGAATGAAAAGGAGGAAGGTAGAAAGAAGAAAAGAGAAGGAAGGAAGTTTTAAAAGAAGAGAAAGAAGGAAAGGGAACATTAGGAAAGAAAGACGGAAGGATGGAAAGAAATTTTTTAAAAAGGAAGGAAGGAGAGAAAATAAAAAGGGTGGGGAAGGAAGGAAAGAGGGAAAGTTGAAGGAGAGAAAGACGGAATGAAAAGGAGGATGGTAGAAAGAAGAAAAGAGAAGGAAGGAAGTTTTAAAAGAAGGGAAAGAAGGAAAGAGAGAATGTTAGGAGAGAAAGAAGGAAGGATGGAAAGGAATTTGAAAAAAGGTAGAAAGGATAGAAAATAAAAAGTTTGGGGAAAGAAGGAAAGAGGGAAAGTTAAAAGGAAAGAAGGAAGGAATGAAAAGGGGGAAGGTAGAAAGAAGATGATAGAGGGAGAGAGAAAGAAAGGAAAAGAGAAGGAAGCTAGGGCATTTTAAAAGAAGGGAGGGAATGAAAGTGGGAAAATTAGAAGGAGAAAAAGAAGGAACGAAAAGGAAGGTAGAAAGAAGAGGATAGAAGGAGGGGGGAAAGAAAGGAAAGAGGGAAGGAAGCTGGGGTGTCTTAAAAGAAGGGAAGGAAGGAAAGAGAGAAAGTTAGAGAAAGAAGGAATGAAAAGGAGGTAAGTAGAAAGAAGAGGATAGAAGGAGAGAGAAAAGAAAGGAAAGAGGGAAGGAAGCTGGGGTGTTTTAAAAGAAGGGAAGGAAGGAATGAGGGAAGTTCAAAAGAGAAAAAGAAGGAAAGCAATTAGGAAAAAGGAGGGTAAGGAAGAAGGAGACAAAATAAATGAAAGGTGGAGAAGAAAGGAATGACTGAAAGTGGCAAGGAGAGAAAGAAGAAATGAAAGGAGGGGGGTAGAAGGAAGAGAAGGAAAGGAAAGGAAGGAAGGAGTCTAATTATTTCAAGATTCCTCACAGCATATTAAAATAATTTCCAATCATCTTCTCTGGATTCTAGAGTGGCTTAGACGTTTCCCTTAGGTGTAATTTGCAAATTTGGGCATGAGGTGATGATGATGATGATGATGATGATGATGATGATGAGTAGGGAAAAAGGTGGGGAGAGTTTCAAAGCTGATCAAGAGGGCAGAAAGCAAGCCGTGATCAAGAAACTGGGGTGCCAGTCTTGTCGTGAAAAGCCTCTTTGGTGGATTGGTTTGATCGTATTCCGAAGGAAGAGAAGAAAGGGAGACCGTCACCATCCAAGGAGGATGGGATAAGAAGCAAAGAACTGAAAGAGCAGGCATGGAAGCTCTGGGCAATGCATCCTTGAATGGGAGGGTCTCTTTCCCAGACCAATTTAAAAAGGAATCTGGAATCAGCCCTGGATCTCGGCATCAGTTGGCTTCCCTTCTCGGAAAATCTTTACCGAGAGACTTTCCTATCAGGAACTCTTTGGCCATTGTGTCGAGGGATGCTCTGTCATTGCAAGTATTTCAAGACTTCTGCATAAATATTAATAACCCAGAGTGTCTGGTGGCTTCCATAATAGGAAAGGAAATCCACTCTGTATTTTAGTCTGAACTTTTTAGCAAAGATGTCGTTTCCACTTTCTTCTGAATGGGTCTATTACTTTGCACAACTTGCCTTGTTATTGTACGGTAGAATGCAGTTGTTTGGACTGTCATGGCTGAATCCTGGGAGTTGTAATTTGGGGAAGCAGAAAAGGCAAAAGACCTTGTAAAACTACATTGAAGAGAGTTATTGACAAGCTGGAATGTGTCCAGAGGAGGGCGACTAAAATGATCCAGGGTCTGGAGAACAAGCCCAATGAGGAGCGGCTTAAAGAGCTGGGCATGTTTAGCCTGAAGAAGAGAAGGATGAGAGGAGATATGATAGCCATGTATAAATATGTGAGAGGAAGCCACATATTTAGGAGGGAGGAGGGAGCAAGCTTGTTTTCTGCTTCCCTGGAGACTAGGATGCAATGGAGCAATGGCTTCAAACTACAAGAGAGGAGATTCAATCTGAACATGAGGAAGAACTTCCTGACTGTGAGAGCCGTTCAGCAGTGGAACTCTCTGCCCTGGAGTGTGGTGGAGGCTCCTTCTTTGAAAGCTTTTAAACCGAGGCTGGATGGCCATCTGTCAGGTGTGCTTTGAATGCAATTTTCCTGCTTCTTGGCAGAATGGGGTTGGACTAGATGGTCCATGAGATCTCTTCCAACACTATGATTCTATAACTCTCATTATTTCCATAGCATTGAGCAGCGAGATTTAAAATGGAGTCAAACTGCATTAATTCTACAGCATAGATGCACTGTTTGGAAGTTCAAACTAAAACCCAGGACGGATTTTAGTTGCTACCGTGAAGAGTATATTGCCCATATTCAAAAGGACTTTGCATGTTCCTTTAGCCTAGCTGTTGGTATTTCAGGTAATGGAAGGTGTGGCGGTAGACTTGCTTCATGTTTCATAATGCATCAAACCCATTTCTGTTTGGAGAGAGTTGGTTTTGGTAACTGAATCACATCTCATCCAGGGTTCTACAAATGGCATTATTAGCAAACATTGTGGATGGAGATAACATAATGAACCACGCTAAGATATTTTATTTATTTTTTATTTGTTTCTTTGTTTCTTTGTTTGTTTATTTACAATATTTTTAACCCGACCCTTCTCAAGCCCGAAGGCCACTCAAGGCAGCTTACAGATTGGCAGCCATTCGATGCCATAACAGTCCACAATATACAGTTAAAACATTGACAAGCTGGAATGCGTCCAGAGGAGGGAATCTAAAATGATCAAAGGTCTGGAGAACAAGCCCTATGAGGAGCGGCTTAAGGAGCTGGGCATGTTTAGCGTGCAGAAAAGAAGGCTGAGAGGAGATACGATAGCCATGTATAAATATGTTAGAGGAAGCCACATATTTAGGAGGGAAGAGGGAGCAAGCTTGTTTTGTGCTTCCCTGGAGAGTAGGACGCGAAACAATGGCTTCAAACTACAAGAGAGGAGATTATATCTGAACACGAGGAAGAACTTCCTGACCGTGAGAGCCGTTCAGCAGTGGAACTCTCTGCCCCAGAGTGTGGTGGAGGCTCCTTCTTTGGAAGCTTTTAAGCAGAGGCTGGATGGCCATCTGTCAGGGGTGATTTGAATGCAATATTCCTGCTTCTTGGCAGAATGGGGTTGGACTGGATGGCCCAGGAGGTCTCTTCCAACTCTAGGATTCTATGATTCTATGATTTAAAACTTGGGGTTTGGAGGCACTGGTCCTTCTTGGAGGGGCAGACCCAGATGGTGGAGCTGGGGGTCTCCTGTTCGACTCCCTGACCGATGGCCTGTGGGGTCCCTCAGGGTTCAATTCTGTCCCCCATGCTGTTTAACATTTGCATGAAACTGCTGGGAGACATCATCCGGAGTTTTGGAGTTCGGTGCCAAATGTATACAGATGACACCCAACTCTATTACTCCTTTCCACCTAATGCCAAGGATGCCATTCTGGTCCTGAACCTGTCCTCAGTAATGGACTGGATGAGGGCCAACAAGCTGAAACTCAATCCAGACAAGACAGAGGTACTCCTGGTCAGTCGTAAGGCAGGTCAGGGCGTGGGAGTACAGCCTGTGTTGGATGGAGTCGTGCTCTCCCTGACGACACAGGTCCGCAGTCTGGGGGTGATCCTGGACTCATCACTGACCCTGGAACCCTGGTGTCAGCAGTGACCAGGAGTACCTTTGCACAGTTAGAACTTGTGCACCAGCTGTGCCCATACTTTGAGACACCGGACTGGGCCATGGTAGTCCACACCTTAGTCACATCCCATTTGGACTACTGCAATGCTCTCTACGTGGGGCTGCCTTTGAAGATAGTTCAGAAGCTTCAAATGGTCCAGAGATTAGCAGCCAGGTTACTAACTGGAGCATTGTTCAGGGAGATAACCACTTCCATATTGCAGCAGCTCCACTGGCTTTTTTTTTTTTTTTTTGGTCATGTCAGGAGCGACTTGAGAAACTGCAAGTCGCTTCTGGTGTGAGAGAATTGGCCGTCTGCAAGGATGTTGCCCAGGGGACACTCGGATGTTTTGATGTTTTTACCCTCCTTGTAGGAGGCGTCTCTCATGTCTCCGCATGTCGAAGGCTTTCATGGCCGGAATCACTGGGTTGTTGTAGGTTCTTTCAGGCTATATGGCCATGTTCTAGAGGCATTCTCTCCT